GCAACACCAAAACACTTAAATCAAGGATGAAGGTCTGCTGTGTGTAATGCTGTAAGAAGTAATAGTAGTAATGACCCTGTGTCTAACAGATTCATTGCCTAAGCTCATTATAAGCATTGAGCATACATAAACAAAACTGTATCCCGAAGTTTGGGATCCCACAGTTTGCACACGGAGTGGTGGTTTCAGCTCACTACCAGCTGTTATCAAGGGAAGCCAGAGAAAAACATGCCAACCTCCAGGAGAAAAAAAAATCCTCCTTTTTTGAATAGCACTCACCCGGGTGCTTCTTTGCCTCGGTGTGGAATAAAAAACACGTATAGCCCATGCTGTGCCCCAGGATGTGTGCAAATTCCATTCTCTTTAACAGGGCTAATGTACCAAAATCCTTACGAATGGCATTTTGAACATTGTTCATAATATCAGAAATAGCACAATAAAGTGACATCCAAATTTGACTGTGCTGCCAATGCAGCTTCTTTCATGCACAGCATGTTGTGTTGTGACCTGAAACACACTCAGAAAGCAGGGGGAACATCTGCAGTTCTTATCAATTAATATTTCTGCAGCATGTCTACCTACACCATGCTGTGCATGTGCAAAATGGCCAAAAAATGAATGTAGACCGGCAAATTATGTCTAATCAGCCAGTTGCTACAGCCTTAGCCAAACTCAGTCCAGACTGTTCTGCCCCTTCAGCTCTGCCCAAGCTCCTCTCTCTGCTTCTATGGGCTTCTCTCCCTTGCCCTGACTTGGAGTGGCAGCAATGAGAGAAAGGGGAAACTCTAGGAAGTTGTCTCCCCTTTATCCCCCACATAACAGCAGGGACTTGTGAAATGGAGGAGGAGACAGCTGTGTTGGTCACAGGAATGCAGAACATAGGAGCAGCAACCACCCACTCGGTGATTCCATACCTAGAACATACCCTGCCTGCTCCCTGCACTTTACCTGATGGGCCACTGTGCCCTGTCCTGGGACGACTGCCAGCCCAGGATGGTGTGTAACTGCCTCTCCTACTGGTCTGAGTCTGAACCTGGAATGCTGTAAGCACAGGTCAGCCAGTTTCTGCTTCCAATATAATTATGAATAGAGAAGTTTGGGGCACCTATTTTGTTTTCATCCCTAATCAAAGGAACCTTCTGCAGATTTAGCCATCACAAAATCGTGTCATGACATTTTTCACAGCCTAGAGAGGATCACTCAGGCCCTGTCCCCAGTGCCTGTGACAGGTCACAGGAGCTGGCTGGGAGTTGTCAGTGGAGATTCCTCCTCCTCTGCTGACGTGGTAGCACCGGGCTGGCGCTGTGGGAGTGAATCACCAGCTCTGGCAGGAGTGGTGCTCTTGGGACAATGGCAGGCCTGGGAACTGTGCACAGCCACTCCTTACTCTGGACAAACTTTGAAAGGAAAAGCAAACTGAGTTTATTTGACTAACTGCTTAACAAATCAGCACCTGTTTCTTCAAGGAGGAAAGCGGGAATGAGTTAATATGCCAAATAGTTTTGAGAAGAAGTGACTTTTACCATTTTGACAGACCTTCATTAATTGTTTCCTGGTTCCTTCCAGGCAGCAACCTCCCCTATCCAGTCAGTGCCAAAGACAACTTACACAGCTGCCTGGAAGGGGGATGCAACCATTTAGAGAAACTTCATCTTTGGCTTTGCTGTCTTTGAAACGAGCATGGATTTGCAGTGAAGTTCCCCTTTTCATCCCACACTCTGGATAGAGCTCTGCTCAGTGTAATTCCACCATTAGTGTTTTCTGAATCTCCATCCTTAGGTCTCAGGTTTTGATCCACCTATTGCACAGTTGTCAAGGAACAGCCCTGAAGTGGTTTTCCTGGTTGGGCAAACCCCATCAGGCGTAACACCAGGTCAGCTGCAAAGAAATACCACAGCATAATGCAAATGCAAATCCTCTTGCAAAAGCTAAGAGAAGTTTCATCACCTCCAAGGATATATGACCTTGTATTCATAGGGGTTTAATAATACTTCAATTCAGAGCTATTCATTACACAAGCTTTAAGGGAGGACAGTGAATGAAGCTCATTAGCAGTTGGATGCAGGCTGGATACGATGGCAGGCAGACAGCCACAGGGACAAAAGTGCATTTGAAATAGATGATCCCTAAACTCAGCATGCCAGGATGATAGACAGGACACTCTGGACGTGCTGGCATTCTTGGTTGTTGTGCTTTTGTTCCCTGCTGCTAAACATGGCAAAGGAAAGGTTTCTTGAGTCTCTTCCTTAGAGCCTGTTCAGCCTCAGGTGCAAAAGCAACCTCTGCTCCCAGGCAGCCAGATGGCCAGCTGCAATCCAGGCACTCCCTAATTAACTTTGGGTTTTTTTCCTCTGTGGGTTGTTTCTGCGAAAAAGGGAACTGACAGCATGTTTGTTTACAGGAGATTGATTTGGCTTGGCAGTTCCCTGGTCCCTACTAAGAATTTTGAAGTGTCTTTGGGTTTTGTTGTCACCTCACAGAAGGAGGAGAAGCTGAGAATCCATGGGGATTTCTAGGGTGCATCTGAAGAAGTTATGTAAGTATGCAGGTTTACTGCAAGTCACACACAGATGGGCAGCAAATGAAACAAAGCTGATGGGGGCAAACTAATCTGAAACCTTAGTTACTGTGGAGTGCTGAGCTGCTGCAGTGTATAATTAAACACAACTACAGCAGACACTAACCTGCAAGCAGGTCCTCTAAGCCCTGTGGACTTGCTTGTGTCCATAAAGTCACTCAACATATATAAAAAAACTGCTGGATGGATCCCTCCGCACAGAAGAAAATGCCAGCCTGATCTAGACGAAAAAGAAGAATAATTTAAAGAACCTGCAGTAGGAGTGAGCAACTAAAATGTCCAGGTACAAAGCTGACAGGTAGGAAAGACAAAAATATTTAAGTAACAGATTAAGTTCACCCTGCAATCCAGAGATGTGAAACAGCTTTTACAGGAGTTAACTAGCTGCCCCTAGCAACCACGTGTGGCAGCACATATGTCATGTTCTGCTGAGACCTCAGCTAAACACTGACCAGGCCAGCAAGTGCCAAGCTCCATCTTGCTACAGAGGACAAAAGCAAAGTCTAGGAAAGAGCAAGTCAAAGGGAGGGTGGGGAAGCTGTGCCTGCTCACCATGGCTGAACATACAGAGGGTAGAGAGGATTAGTGAGAAAGGAGGCAGCCAAATAACAAAGGAAAAAGGATCACGGAATTTTTTTTCCTTCCAAAGTAGCAAGTCTGGAAGGCATAAAGTGCTGAAGGAGAGGAATTGTGTGAGAGAAGACATGAAGGAGAGTAATTTTGAATCAGGTTGGTCTTAAATGTAAAGGATGAAGCATAGCGCTCACATCTGTCTCTAGGTGAAGAACTTCTTAAAAATTACTTTGAGGCCATGTTGCTTCTGACATCATAGTGTTTTGCAAAGAAAGGGACAATTGATGTACATCTCACGGGCTGTAATTTCGCTGCAGAGATAAGACAGGGGCAGAGCCGCTGCAAAGCTGTGCATGGAAAATCGCAGAGGTCCAGCCTGCTATTGTGCACTAGAGATTGGGTTTTTAATGATGATTTGTTGGAGATGAAAATGCAGAGTCCTCCCCCTGGTGGCAAGTAAAGAAAGCCATAGCAATGACTTTTTTAATCATGTCAATCTAAGGCTATAAATGAAATGAGCATCAGATAGGACCAATTTTTTATTAGGTCAACTGATACAGCTGGGGGAAAAAAAGAAGACAATTTTGCAAAATGCAGATCTGTTTTTTAGGACTTACATAGGTTTACTTTGAAGGCTAATACAACTTGAGAATAGTTACTGAGTTCAATTTGATCATTAATTTATTAGACCATTTGCAAGAGAAGCAGAGGATAAAGCCTGTAGAATAACTTTCAGCAGCTGATCAGGGTAATTGTGATGTGCAACAATCCCATTATTTCCACTGAGTCCTTCTCTTATAGTGGCCAATTGAGTTTTGGTGGCTAAAATCAGACACCAGACAGACTGGTATGCAAATTAAAATTCTTAATGCTACTGAACAGTAATAATGGACTCAGTAGACAAGTTGGGTTTATTGTATATACAACAGTTTTCCCCACTTAATGTCCACAGATAGTTCTTCAGAAAGTATCTGTAGAAAATGATCTCTCTGTGGTTTTTATGGGAAGTTATGGCAAGTGCCTTTGGGACAGGAATTTTTGCTTTAGATGACTAATCCGGTGGATGAGGGGAGAGCAGCAGATGTAGTTTATTTTGGCCTTACTATGGCTTTCTACACTGTCTCCCAAAGCATCTTCATAGACAAACTGATGAAGTACAACCTAAATAAATGGGCAGTGAAGTGGATGGAAAACTGGCAGAACTGCTGGGCTGAAAGGGGCTCGTCATTAGTGGAGTACCCCTGGCTGGTACTGTAACACCTTCATTAACTACCTGGATGAACTGACAGAGCCCACTCTGAGCAAACTGGCAATGATACAAAGCTGGGGAAGAGTGGTTGATAACCAGATGGTTGTGTTGCTATTCAAAAGGATCTGAACAGGCTGGAGAAATGGGCAGGGAGGGTTGTCAGGAAGTTGAAAAAAGGGAAATGCAAAGTCCTTCACCTGGGAAGGAATAACCTGTGCACCAGTAGAGTCTGGAAAACAGCTTTCCAGATGAGAATATGGGAGTCCAGGTGGAGAACAAGCTGACCATGAGCCAACAATATGCCCACGTGGCAAAGAAGCCAACAGCATCCTGGGCTGCCTTAGAAAAAGTGTCCCCAGCAGGTTGAGAGGTGATTTTTCTCCTTTCCATTTCCCTTTTCAGTTCCAGTAGATAAACATTAGGTATCACCTTGTCCTTGACAGTATAGGCAGTGTAAGAATGGCTGAATTGTAATGACAAGGAATCTTCTTCAGCTGAGACATTCAACATTAATAACCACTGCAATATAAACAAAAATATATCCCCCTCTGCTTAAGAACAGAAAGTTATGCCCTTTACCACAAAACACTCTCTGCATGCTTATGTTTAAAAAGGTTTATTTTTTTTTCACCCTGGTACAAAAATACAGTACAATGTGATGGCAAGGCATTGGCCAAAAAACATTCAAAGAATAAAAGGGGAAACCCCGTAAAGCTTCAACATAACCCACCCTCACTTGATGGAACAATCAAAAGGTGAGTGCATAAGGAAAAAGTTAATTTTCTGCCCAAAGGCAAATAAAAGTGAATCACACAGTTTTACACAAAAATACATTTGCAGAGCTGATAATTTCACATGCTACTTGGACATTCATGAAATGTATTCTACTGGGTTACTGGCAGAATTCGTGTTTTGGGATATCTAGAAAATACCTGGCCTAGGAAGATGCCCCATTGATGGCAATGCCCAGTAAAAACAATGGGATCACATAATACCAGTGAGAAAAGAGGAATTCAACCCTGATTAGGTGTCAAAATGTTGGCTGCTACTAGTTTTTTCAATCACATTGTTTGTCCTCAAATAATATTCTTCCCTACACACCTCCCTTTTAACACCAAATATTAGTGGTTGCTCAAACACACAACGGGATGTGTTTGCACATTACCTAGTTGCAAATAATCATCACAGTGCAAACTTCCAGGCAGGGGGAGAAAACACTGTGACTGATGCATGTGTGTGAACTCCAAACAGGGTTTACCCTAACATTGTTGACAGGAGAATTATGTCCCTTCAGTGCAACTACATTCTCAGTCTGTTCAATCGTTTCCTTTTAGAGTTTTGAAGCAGTGAAAAATCATCATTTATCGTATCCATTATAGTTCATCTCCCAGGTGCTTTTGTTTGAAAGCATCACCTGTCAGCTTCTCCTGGGCCTCCTTCATCCCCTGGACAACTGAAAGATTAGATAAGAGAGATACCAACTATTAATCTCATGATGCAAACATCAAGGTGGACTGGTAATGAAAGTTATTTTAAAACAACAGTTATAGAACATATATCTACAAATTAACCTGTGGGGAAGAAAAACAAACCACCACCAAAGAAAAAATACCCTCCAGTCCTGCACCATTTCCTCACCTATGTGTAGCTGGATCATGCAAATTCCACAATTTTCCATGCCACAACTGGAGACAAAGTTTAGGTCCTACAGACATAGCAGTATGTCTTAAGGTGAATTACAATTCTGAATATGGTTCCTCAGGCGTTGGAGAACCACTCACTCACACTGTACCTAACAGCTCCCAGTTATGCTGTAAAGTACCATCATTTTTCTCCTCTAAACAGTGAAGGTGTGTCCTCACTAAAAATGCAGTTTCAACTACTTTGCACATACCTTGATCAGCATTGGTATAGAAATACTTGTAGCTGGGGTTTCCTCTCTCATTTATGATTTCTGGATGGACTTTTCCACTGGGATCTATGAAACAAGAAATCCATCAGGAAGTTTAGGTGGTAACAATAAGAACCCAGTCCTGTGAGTGGACACAAGAGCTGTGGATGCCTTACCCATGAAAAGGATTCTGGGGATATAACTTCCATCAGGACTAAAGGCTTCATCCTTGGGCTCTTCGTCATCCTACCAAAGCAAGACAGAAGAGAAGGAATGTATTAGCAAGATATCTAACAAAACACAACACTGCTTTTTTAAGAAACAACTTATTGCCTTCAGATTCCTGTTACCCTGAGCAATTTACATCTTGAACAGATGCCAAGTAACTGCAGGATCTTCCACTCTCAACGAAAGTGAGTTATTTTTACCTAAACAAGTATCCTCTGTGAAAATAATAATATTTTTTTTGTCCTGTTAATTTGCATTACACATTCCACTTTGGTGTAGGAATGTTTGATAGGTAATGAGAGAATAAACATAAATTCCTTTATTGCAGCAACAGAATCACACAAGGCACAAACTGTTAAAGAGACAATGGCAGAGAGCCAGGTTTATAAACAGAATTAAAATAACCAGACTGAAGAAAACTCTTTTTAAAACAATGAGCCGTATCAATCAATCCTGAATGCCTATTCAGGAGTGCAGGATTTAGGATGTACACCAAACAGGATGTAACCAGTAAAGTCGGATTCCAAATGCTTAATTACCAGGCAGTAACATGGACACAGATCAGAAGACAGCCTACCTCAAGGTTGACCATAACAAAATTATGGGCAAGTTCAGAGATCTCCTTGGATTCAGCAAACTTTGGCTTTAAAGCTAATTAAGGGGGGGGGGAATAAAAATAAAGACGTATGTAAAAACAGTGGAAAATATTTCAGATTTTCAAGCAGTATCAAAATCTCCACCCCTCCCTCTGGAAAGCTTTTCAATAAGCAGTGAGTAAATGGAATGTATATATCAAACTATTCAAAGCAGGGCTAAGAGCAGCAGGTGACTGAAGCAATTCTTGCTGGGCAGCCATGGGATGAAGCCTGACATCAAACATACATGGCTGTATATGAACCAACAGAACAGAGCAGAAAGCCTGCTATAAACCAGTATTGCCACTCAACTGCCTCATCCTTTAAGCTTAGCCATGACCCCCAGCTTGTTTGTTTACAATGGCAGTGCCATATTATGCTTCTCCTAATGAAATAGTTACCATTAGCTACAGTCTGAATGCAAAGCTCATGTTTCTCATGGCTACGTGATTTGCATACCAAGATTCATTAGAAATTTCAGCAAGCTCTAGTATTAAATACACTTACCTTTGCAAGCTCCACACCAGGACTTGTGGATGATAACCATAAGAGGCAAACCACTAAAAAAAGGAAGAAAAAAACCTGTCAAAGAAAGCTTCCAGAAAGCCTCTAAATCAAATTCTGTTACGTGTACATTTTAACAATCAGGGCTTCCTCAAAGGCTCAATGTAACAGAAAGTAAGTGAGATGTAAAGAGATTCTGCTGTGTTCTAAGCTTGGCTTGCAAAAAGTTTTCCCAGTCTTAAAACATGTCATAAAATACTTTATTGTAACTGCTCACATAGAGGAGACTTTGTCTTTGGAAGACTTGCTCTTATTAGTTTAGATTCCTCAGACACACAGCTGGTCATGCATTTTTTACTGGATTACTGGAAATGGTTAGTGACACCAGCTGCCTGAGAGATCTTGGGATGGATTTTTGTGGCTGCTTATGGCAACCCAGTGGATGACAGTCACTTATCCATCCTCCTCCCCATTACAGCCCACATGTTTCAGTCACCTCCTGTGATCAAGACCCCACTGAGCAACCATTGAACCCAGTAACCCTTTAGCTGTAAACAGATATGAAAGGCAATCTCTACTTAGCAGCATTCAGTTATGATCTTTAGAACCAGAAAAGGGTAGAGAGGAAGGCATTAACATTTAGAGTCATTCAAAGAGAAGTTTGTGCTTTATAATTAACCAATATGTCATCACCTTCACATTGGGCTCTGTTTGCAGTAAGGAGTATGAACACACATTGCCCTAGTAGAGCTTGCATTGCATCCAGTGTCCCTGAGGATGAAAAAACACTTTTTTCTTCATTGTTTCTACAGAGTCCCAAATTGTTTTGCCTCTTTCTTGAGGACAGGCTGATTTACGTCTGGAAAATACACATTGTTCTTATCAAGGACCAGTGGTTCATGTCAAAAGAGTTCAATCATCTGGCAATCGGTACTGCAACATGCTTTTTTTTAAAGAGAAATTTTCAAAGCAGGTTTTAAATTTAAGTGCTCACAGCCTTGAAATACCAATTCTTAGTGAGAACTCACAGAGGTTTGAAATAATGAATGTGTTTTCTCAGCTTTATTCTCTTTACTTTGACTGGTAAGATAAAGTTATTTACATCAAAACATTTTTGTAGTCAATTCTCAGTTCTGTAATGCATAAATCCCCCAGCAGTCGGTGTGTCAGACTGTACTATTTCCTCCCAGGGAGCACTATACATACAATTAAACCAAAACAACAACTTATGAGAATGAGGGATGAAGCATCCACCAGAAAGTGAGAAGTTTATATGAACTGTATCTATTGTATCACAAACCCCAAATTATTGGAAACTAAATGCAAAACTAAGCTACCCATCCCAGCTGGTATGGACCTATGGGTTTCAACAAGGACACTGTCATTTTAGCTTGTTTTTCCTATGAGATAACTCATTCTTAAGTAATTAGTGTTTTTAAAGGTGTTTAATGATGACCTTGCAGAGAAAAGACACGGCGAGTTATTTCAATAAAATAGTCCTGCAGATAAATTAAGAGTTTAGTCCATTTAAGGCACACATTTTATTGTTAAACCTCTTTTGAGTTTGCTAAGCCAGCACCCTTTTGCAGTATAGAGCTGCAAATCTCTCTTGGGTTCAGTCAGACTTCTTGAAACAGTCACATCCTGTTCTAGTTCTGGACCTGAAGTCTCTTCTGCAGTTTGACATTATCTGGAGGCAGCCCTGGAAAAACAATCTTCTTATTCAAGACATACAGTCATCACCTTTTGCGCTTTCACGCTCAGACACTACTATATTACTGGGGTTTATGTCTCCACAGGAGACTTCACTTGCTTGGGGATGCAACAGCTGCTCTCCTTTTTGATGGGGAGAATTCAGGGGTGTGGGGAACTGTATCCCTACAGATTCTCTCAGAAATTGTCTGCTTGGCTGCTGCGGGAACACGGCACCCAGAGCTGCTGCTGCCAAATATCCGATACACGACAGGTGGGATCCAGGCTCTGCGGGGTCTGCGTCTAGAAGGCGTGTTCCTACTGTCACAAGTACTTCTACAACCACGGCCACTGCCACTGGTTCACTGGATGCTGCGGCTCAGGTACTGCAGGAACATGCTGGCCAGCTGGGGCATGTTCTCATCGCTGGGCTGCATCTTGGTGTAGGTGATGAACTGCCTGCGCAGCCGGCTCAGCTCGGCCAGGCTCACGGGCCGGCTTCAGCACCAGCCCCTCGGGCCAGGCCGGGGACGCGGACCGTGTCCCCGGGCAGCGCCCCGCCGCTCTGCGCGGCCATCACTGCGGCCAGCACGTCCTGGGTGACGCGGTCCAGGCGGTGCAGGAACTCCCCGGACTGCAGGGGCTGGGCGCGGGTGGAGCGGTGCGGGGCCGGCGGGGCGCTCTCGAACAGCGCCGGCGCGGATGTCGCCCAGCGGCGCGCTCCTCCCGCTCCACCTGTTGAACAGGGCCGGCCGGTCCCAAGCGGCAGGCCCGTGTCGGGCTCCTCGAAAGGGCGGCTCGTCGGGGCCGCCCCGCGCCGCCGGCGCAGGTCAGTGATGGCAGCGCGCCGTTGCCCGCCTTGTCCGCGCCGCGCAGTTAACAGCTCGTAAGCGGGATGCTCGCGCAGCTCGTTGCGCCGCGTCCACGATCACCCAGTCCCGCCGGGGCTCAGGCCGGCCGCTCCACCTCGGCCCGCAGCGCCCCGCCCCGCCCGCCCTCCGCCGTCGGACCACGACGTTTGCGCGGCCCGCTCGGAGGCCGCCCAGCGCCGCCGCAAGGCTCCTGGCCGCCCGCCGGCTTGCTTGCCGCTGCGGGACCGGCCCGCACAGCAACCACCAGCGGCATCGCCCCGCGGGCACACGACCCGGTAAACGGGCGGAAACTTGCTTCCGCGGTCACACACACTCCACACACGGCCCGCCCCGCCACCGGCAGCGCCCCCGGCCCCGGGGGGCGGCACCGCCGGGCGGGCTTCTCTGCCCGTGCGGGCTTCTCTGCCCCTTCGGGCGTGCGGAACCGCCGGGCCCCCGCCTCTGGCACCGGGACACCGTCCTGGCAGACATGCGGCTTAGAAACGCGACCGTACTAACTGTAGGAACGCTTGATCCCTGCCCTCGTCCGCACGGAACTTAACAACGAGACGTCTCCAGCATCCCCCGACACATCCACGCTGCGCAGTTTATAAAATTCAAATTGAAATCTTGAAACGTCCCGGCTCACTGGCTCTGCTGGATCTCAGCTGATGTGTCACAGTTAATTTCGTATAATTTTCGTATTATTTTTCATCTCCTCCTGACCTAAGGTCAGACTTAGGAAAACAAATCTACTTTTTAGGTTTATATTTTCTTCGTTATTAGTGGTTTCTCCCAGTCCTTCAGTAATGCTCAATGCTGCTGAACTCAAAACAGTGAAAGGGTCTGTGCTTCCAACAGTGAAAGGAGAGGGTGTGGATTACACCGACCCCTTCCTGCAGAGTCCCCTTGAGCAGGAATGCTCATCCTGCCTAAACCTGAGAGCTCACAGCTCACCGTGCGCCTCCCGCCCTCCTCTGTCTCATTTTGAAGCTTCCTCTGCTTCATTGCAAAGTAGTGCTACAACTACACCTGTAAATACGGAAATAATATTTTTTTTCAAAAATATCCAATTATAGAAACTTGTAAGACCTCTGAAACTGTATCGTCTGGGTTAATTTGGTATCTACACTAAAACGATGGATCAGTTTGAGAGCTGAACTCAAACAGCAAACCTGGAAGGCATGAGGAATTTCTGCTCATGTCAGCATTGTCAGATTTAGGTTATAAATTTAAAATACAAATAGAATTTATAAGCATACCATTTCCTTTCTCACATTTTAACAAGAAACAGAAGAAATTCTGAGGAAAATAATGTGTCAAAAAATAATTTTTTACCTTCTAAGAGACTGTTATTTTTAGAGTTTAAACTTAACCAAATCAGGTTCTATCAGTTCACTAGTTTGAAACTTCCAGACTTTTTCCTGCAGATTGGAACAAAATAACTTATCTCAGGCTGAGGCCTCATCTATACAGGCATAAGGAATTTTAGGGAAGCTGTCAGCACTGCTGAGTTCAAGGGGATTGAGCACTCTTTACACATTCATTTGTGAGTTTGAGAACCATACCTTTCTTTACTGTGGGAAAAAATTATTTTCTTCTAATTTCAAAGACATGCTAGGGCTTCGATGATTTAATTACACTGCAGTGATTAAACCTAGGTGGTGCCTCAGCAAAGATATCAAAACTCTGTATTTTCTCTCTAATAAGCTGTAGGGATCTGAAGTCTCCTAAACCATCTTCATTTTTGTTAATAATGACTCTTCTGTGGTTAAATTTAGGATTGATGCAGAACCTTTGTGAATGCTTTTAAAGACACTTTTCTGTATTTAAAACTAGCAAACATACCTGGCTGCTGCCTCTTTCTTCCCATCTTCTAGTGTTCTCCAATGAATATGATCTCCAAAACCTGCCAGAGAGAAGGGTTTATAAATGCTGCATAATTTAGTGTGTCAGCTAACAGAGGAAAACAGTCCAACCCTCAAGAGTATTTTCAACTTATTTTATATTCTTTTTTTGAAAGCCAACTACAAACCCAGTTCTGGAAAGACTTCTGCAAATACTTACAACCCACAGTCGTATGAGGAATCCCACTGAAATTAATTAACAAAAACATACCATCCTAATGAATATTTATATCTATATGCAAACGACATAAAAATCCCCCAAACGAATATTAAAATTGAAGGGCCTTCTGATTATTCTCCATTATTCTTCAATCTATGAACATTTATTAACTGATGAGTGACAAATTAAACATGTCAGCATTTGGCTTCCTAAATCCCACCGAATGTGAACTAAAGCAAAACTTAAAAATTCCTAGGCCAACATATGATCATTAATTGCTCTAAAACTATTATGCTAATTATTACTGCTGATGATAATTGAAGAGTAAGAAAGAACACCACTACAAAGATTTCTGAATGTTAGAGTGACTGAATGGCGCAGGAAATATTTTATCCCATATCCAGATAACAAGTCTTGTTGTGTCAATTGACACAAGAGTGAGTCAGTGTATGTTTAACAGCTGCAAAGCAGGGACTGCCAGGGTTGGGATTTTTTAGTAGCCAACAAAGCACATGGCCAAAAGCCACCTGGAGAGCTGAGATGAAGGAGATCCGGGAACTGTTTGAAGAGGAACACCCTTGGAAGACCTCCTCAGAGGTCTTATGGCTCCAGTAATTAACAATTAGTGCACTGGATGATCAAACATCAGCCTTGGCTTGCCCCTTCCCATCGCTGAGGGTTTGGATTAGTCAGCAACCCCCAGGGTGCTGAGGAGAGCACATTTCGGGAGCTACGCAAAGGTCAGAGCCCCAGACTGTCCAGTGCTGACACAGGGAAAAGTGGACATTGTAGACAACTATGGCAAAGAAGCTGGAGAAAGCCTAAAACAGAGTCAGCAAATCCTTGTGGCACCTTAATTCAGTATCCGGGAGGTGTGGACAGTTGGCACAGCATATTGCCTGATCTTCTCTCCTGATATGAACCACTGTGAACACATATGATGCAACACATCAAACAGATGAGCTCGCAGGGAGGTGGGGATGCCCTGTCCACGTCCAATCACACCCCAGCTGCTCAGGCAGCTTTGGACACAGGGCTACTTTTGGACAAGCTCAACGTACCCAAGCAAAAGCCAGTTGGATTAGCAGAAGTCATGTTTATCCAGCATATTGACACGTCAGCTATTTCAGTCAAAGGCCAAAATGTTAAAATAGGGAAAGCCTTTTATTGTTCTAGCTGGGAAACACTTTTTGAAAGCTTTTCTATACTTAAACCAAAATCCCATTTGTGGCAAGCTTCAGTATGTTTTTAAAACAATTACACAACACACTACGGAGCGTTTCTTTTGAATGAAAGTCATCTGGGGAATTAAAGGAGGATGGCTGGCTGGGATCCACACCACAGAGCTTTGCTGTCATTGATCGAATTGGTTACTACCGGTCCTGAGGAGGAGATTTGCCTCTAAGGCAAAGCCACCACCTGGGGTGAAGCTCAGGCGCTGGCTAAACCCGGCTATTAGACACGGTAATTAGTCAAGGAGCCTCGGTGAGCCAAGAGAGGAGTGAGGAGCGGTCATCGAGGGCAAGGGAAGCCGAGGGCGGAGGGAAGCGCCATTCATTGCCTGCCAGGAGCCGGCGGGGGCTGGGCGGGCACAGCGGGCA